GCGGAGAAGTAGGATCGTAGGGAGGGCAGTGGGAAAGAGTTAAGCTCTGTTACATGCACGAACAAATTCCCCATGATGAGTGTGACAGTCATGTATGGCAAGTATGAATTAAGAAACTTTTTTTAAAGTGGTAAAATAGAATGAGGGCAGGGTGCTTCTGACATTGGTTTAGACCTTATGGAAAGAGAGATGAGTGATATAATTGGAACTTAGAAAGCCTACCAAGCTGACATGGTAGACTGAACCTAGCAGGGTGAAAAACAGCAAAGGAAAATCTTCTCCCATCTAGATGCATAGCACCTGGCCCAAGAACAGCCGACTCCAGAACTGCAGGATGAGGGACATACAGTTAGCAGGTGGCGTGTGGGACAAAACCCTAGGACAGGAGAAGATCATGTCTCTGCACTGCTAGAAGTCCAGAGCCAGCACAAGGCAGGTGGCATCCTCTGGACTGTGCAGTTGGGGGCCACGCTTACCACAGGATGTTAAACTGTGGATACCACACTTTTTAAAATGTGGCATGGACCACGGGTAGAAGTAGGAAATTCTGGTTCACAACCGAAGGTAGGGTTGAATAGTCGCTTGCTGGAGACAGTATCTGTAACATTCTTTCACTATGCTTTTCCTGTTTGTGGGATCTATAGTATCGGCTCTTCTCTCATTGCTGGTATTGGTGATTTTATCTTTTCCTTTGCTTTTCTTAGCCTTGGAAGAGCTTTTTAAAAAATCAGTATTTAAAAGGAACTAGATTCTAATTTTGTGGGCTAATTATTTTCATGTCATTGATTTCTATTATTTACTTTCCTCTGTTTTTACCTAATGTCTCTTCTTCCAGCTTAGGTTGGTTGCTGTGGAGCTTTCTTCCTTCCTAATATATGCATTCAATGCATCAAGCACTGTTCTTGTTCAATCTCATATATCTGATAAGCTGTATTTCCATTTCCATTTAATGTAAAATATTTACTTTTTTTCTTTTAAGGTATATTCTTTAACCGATTTGCTCTTTAAAAGTATTAAGCAAACTTGGGAAAAGTCACTGAACTCTTGGTGAATCAATCTTTTTTCAACCTCAGAATGAAAGCAATTGGAGCGTGTAAGGGCTGGGGAGGCTGTTCAGCACTGCACATGCCAGTGGGCACACAGCATGAGGCGCAGCAGCTAACTCCAGCATCAGGCATCATCGCCCGAATCTACGCCAGGGTTTATGGTTTTATCCCACAGCCTTACTGAGAGCGGGTCCCACATCCATAGATGGAAGCCAAAGAAAGAGTTCTTGCCCTGCAATTTCAGCAGACACATTCCCCCAGATCTCACAGGGGTGAACAAAGTTTGTGTATTTTGTCTGTATTAAAGGGATCAGAAGTTGTGGCATTAGCTCACCTCCCTCTTGAATTTTCAGGCTGAGTTCAGCTTTTTTCTCTTCCAAAAATTAACAATCCAAGTTTTTATAACTAAGATAAATAACTTGCTTACTCATATGTATGAAATATCTCTTTTTTCTGTCTCTGTTATGTTTAAAAGCATGTTGAGTTTACTGAAGAAGCTTTTATTTTAATTTATTTATTAGTTATGCATTTAGTTTTAATTGACCCATAATAGGTTATATACACTAATGGCATATTGAAGAATAATCAATTCAAGATAGTTAAAACATAGCCATCGCCTCATGTAGCATCATTTTTGTGACGAGAACTCTAAAAATCCATTCTTAACAGTTTTCAAGAAGAGTGCATATTTGAATTATATTCTCTATGCTGTACAACAGTCACCAGAGCTGGTTCCTCACAGTACACTGAAACTGTACCTTTTGGCCAGCATCTCCCCACCCCGCAAACTCCCCTCTCCACCACCTTTACATGCTTATAAAGCTTTTGCACTGTACTGCATTTTGTACTGAACTGCATTTTGCACTGAATAATAGAAAGTATGAGCAGAAGAAATTTGGCTGCTAAACTACGATAAATCAGACTTAGGGCTCGAATTCTTAGGTCCTTCCTGCCACAAATTCTCTATTGTGTCAAGAATTCCAGAGAGACTGCAGAGGCATGCTATACCTTTCTTGAGCCATCCAGCCATTAAAAGAAGACTTCGGAGGCCATCTGTTCCCTCGCAGGGAAACAGAAGGACTTTTGGTTCCAGGTTGCAGTTTGAGCATGTGTTTTCCACCTCCTCTCTCCCCTCCACTACTGTTAAATAACAGCGAAGAATTTGCAAAAGAAAAACCATTTGGGGGGTGGGGGGGTGGGGGGAGCCAGGCTAGAGTTACAATACTGCAAGTTTCCAGAAGAACTGATGGCCCAGTAAACACCGCAGAGAGGAGGGTGAATCCCAAACTGAGCCCTGTCCTAGTTGCTATGGAGGAGGGGTCAAAGGTCCCAAGGTACAGAGAGTGAGGGTGTGGGCGGAGGCACAGTAATTTGTTTGTTTTTTGGCAAGTGCAAGAGTCTGAGTTCAATCCCCAGTTTCGGAAAAAAAAAAAAAAGACAAAAGACACAGTAATTACTGGAAGGATGGCTGACAAGGCAGGACCCCGTCCCTTCCCTTCCTGCCCACTACTGCAGCGAGTTGGAGTAGGCCAAGCAACTGCATCCCTGGGCTTCACCTCCAGGTGAGACCGGAGTGAGCTCTGGAGAGGACCTGGAAGGGCCTTCGGGCTTGCTGCAGTCTGCCCGTGCAAAGCAGACTGGCTCAGTGGACACTCCAATCCCAGGCAGGGAATTCTATTTCGGTCACCCTCCTGGGTGAGAAAGTCCTGCTGGCAAAATGGGCTTCTGGACCAATTACTCCCATCCTTCCTGCCGGATGTGAGCGGATGAGCCAGGCTGTGCAGCATTGTGGAGATACACAGCACAGCAGAAAGCGGTTTGAAAGAGTCTCCGAGAAGGAATGGGCTAAGGAAAGCCAGGGCTACCTTTCTTTGTTTTTGAGTTCAGCAACAAACAAGCTCTGTGTAATAATCTACAACGTAAAATCTGCTGGCTTCTCCATTTTTAGGCAACCATTGTTTTTCTTAATTTAGGTCATTTGATAAGCAACAGGCGTGAAACCCATCCTCTAATATCTTATTTCTTTAGTAGATTCATTTTATCCCATAAACTCTTCATACTAATTTGCAAAAAAAAAAATAATAATTGTTATACAAAGTAAAATTCACTGTGTAGCAGAATACCTGGCATGCTTTGAGAAATAGCATAAAAAATCGCCAGGAGCAATCTCGGTGGGCCCACGCCTGGCCTCCCTTACAGACAACTTATTCTGGGTCCCAGTGTACAAAATGGATTGAAGAAGCTGCTGTGGTTGGAGTAGGAACCCCAAAGCCACTCATCATACCTGCCCGTTATAAGCACGGCCCACACATACACGGTCCCTAACCACACACATATAACACACACACACATACATTGTTTGACCACACACTCACTGCTTTTCCACATCATACACATGTACACCTTCCAACCTTATGCACACACACTATGCCATCCATGAGCACGCATTACTCTCCACACACCACCATATCCCGCAGACACCTCCCATAGATGTGACGTACATACAACCTGTGTCACACAGACATGACGTTACATATACACTCATGTACACATATACTATATCCTCATCTCTGCCAAGACCTCAGGGTAAACTACACACATACCTCACACAGCACACATCATACATCCACATACTAAACATACATGCTACACACAGACACCACACACAATACACTAAACTACACCACAAATACCACCACATGCAAAGACCACACACATACCATACATAGACACACATGAATAGACACACACACACACATGCACACATATGTGGTTTTCTAGGCATCCAGTGTTTCATGGAACATAATTTGAAAATTCAATGTTCTCGATGGAAGGTAGTACATTTACTTTTTTTAAAAAATGTATTTGGTACAGGGTGTACAGGGTCCACAGGGCTTCACTACGTAGATCGGACGCATAATGATTCTCCTGTGTTCAGCCTCCCAAGTGCTGGGGTTATAGGTGCGTGCCACCACTGCCAGTCTCGGTCACCCTCTCAGCATGCCCCAGTGGTGGGGCAGGCATGGAATACCAGGGATTGAATCCTGGCCGCTGGGTTCTGCCTACCCAGGTGCTTTAGTCCGCTGAGCTATCTGGCCAGCCCTACATTTGCTTTTAAGGAGCTATTATCTTCTTTTCTTTCCAAAGGGGCACAGACATACTTTCACCAGAAATAATGAAAGATTTGGTTGTTGATTTCTTTAAGTCTAGAATTAGCGCTCATAGCTCCTTCTTATTTCTAGTGCTTTAAGGTTAAGCAGAATCGTCTTCAAATAACCCTAAAACATAATCCACTCGAGCATCAGAAATACCAGCTTTTTTCTTAAGATCCACGTCACAAGGGAGAACACACTAAGACACTATCCATATGAGATCACAATCACGTGAGGTGAAGAAGAGATTCACCGGCCAGTGAGGACCAAAGACAAAGATCTGGCTTCGGGCGATGTCCACACGGTTCCAAGCCAGCGCCAAGCTCAGCTGATCTGGAGCTGATGCGTTGGTTCCTGAAAGGCAAGAAACAAGGGCGATTTTCTGCTCTCTGCTTGGACCACTGGATTTGGCAGGCACTGGGCAAAGAGCCTAGGCTTCTCCTGGGCTGTGTCAGTGATGCCTTTTGCAAACACGGCCTTCTTTCTGGCTCCTAATTCACCATGAAGGCCTGGAAGCTAAGATCTCCTTGCTGGCCTGCAGCCACCGAGCAGGGGTATGGAGGCAACTCCTTCTCTTGCCAGCTCTGCAAGGTGTCCCGGGACTCGAGGCTTTTATCTACGAAGGCGCAGTAGTCCCAGGACTGCCCAGGTATCTGCCAACCAGGCCCAGAGGTGGCCCCCTTCCCAGGGGCACTGCCAGGCAGCCAGCCCATGGTGACTCCCTTCCTCCACGCCCCCATACAGCCCCAGTCTTGCAGAGAGGCCAGGAGGAAATGTCATCCAAGAGTAAACCCCGCTTCATAAGTGACTGGCGGAAGCCGATCATTAGGGGCAGGACAGGGAGAATGGATGGAATCCTGCAGAACGCAGTGATGGCAAGAGCAAACCTGTTTCACATTCACCCTGAGTGCAGACGCCCTCCATGAACGAGTTACCGGTGGACCCACGTCTGACCGCAGCACAGCGTGGTCCACGGACACAGACCCCACCTCACAGACACCCTGCAGGAGTGCTGAGACTGCAGTGCGCTTCCTGCTGACATCACCCCCAGGGAGCCAGGCTGGCTCAGGGTTCTGTCCAACACAGTCACTGCCCTGGGCAGCAACACCCAGGAGGACAGGCGTCTCCATTTCTGACGGCTCACCTTTCAGTAGGGCCGTTAAAATCGCCATCTCAACATCTTGCTGACCCTCAGAGCCCATTCTAAACACGGTAACCTGAAAACAGATACATTACAAATTGATGGAATTAAAGCAAAGTGGAAAACGGGGGAAATTCAGATGCTTAACACAACAACAAAGAGGGACTGGCTTGGATTGAGAGAGAGGTAATTTCAAATCGAATGCTTGTGATTTCCAGGAGTCACAGAGTTGTTCTTGCTGACATGAATCATTGCTGAGATTCTGATTTTCTTATTTTCCTGATCTGCTCCAACACAGTGGAGAGGGAGAAACCCATTCTGGGCTTGTGTTCCAATATCTAAATAGTCATATGATGAAATCATCTCCAATGAGCTTGGATTGATTGATTGATTGATTGATTGTATTTTAGGGAAGGGTCTACAGGGTGTTCAGGATCTCACTACTAGATTGGACTTGTGGTGAGCTGCCTGTTTACAGCCTCCCAAGTGCTGGATTATAGGCTCACGCCACCACGCCCAGTCTCAATTGCATCTCAGTGCACCCTGGGGATGGGGCTGGCATGGCAGGCCTGGGGATTGAACCCCCAGACCCCTGCACCTGCTTGCAGGTGCTTTAATCCACTGAGCTACTTGGCCAGCCCTTGGATATATTTATAAGAAATTTGTAAATTCAGAATTTTGAAGATACCATCTTATCCGTACCAGAAATATCTATTTCTGACAAGCACAATTGAGAAAGGAAGGAGTGGGAAACCATTACTGTGCTTGGAAAGCGAAATGATTTCAATTATATCAGATGTAGAAAAGCGTGGTCTATGTCTGTCTCTCCCAGGTCTCAGACTCTGAGGCATACTCTGGGTTGCGTGACGTGGCGGGATGCCATCTCATAGTTGGTAAGGTCTGAAAGCACCAGGGACCCTCTCTTGTGTGGGCTTGTTGCATTTCTGTCAGGAGGCCACACTGCCAATTTGGTGTGGATTTGCAAACCGCCCCTTGGAAAAGGCTAAACCAAAATCCGAACAGCTCTATCAAGCACACATGGGCAGGATCAGAAAAGGAAACATAATTCTCTCTGAAGAGCTTGTTGGGAAATAAACTCAAGACACTTACAAGTTCTTTCTTCTTCATGCACTCCATTATAATTGCAAACAGCTGATGTGACTGTGACTTGCTGTAATTAAATGTTTTCTGAATGGTAACCAGAAGCTGATCCCTGAGGGACTCATTTATTACCCTGTTCAAAGGAACACAAAAGAGAACAAAACAAAGCCAGTGAAACCCATTCATGACTAAATCAGACATTTCCGTGTCTGTCTGGTGGCTTTGATTTGAAACTTTGCTACAGGAGGGTATGCCTGCCAAGGAGACACGGAGTCACTGTGGTCAAAATTGCATTCACGCCTGTCCTAAATTTCGGCCTTGCCGCAAATCTCACAAGGGAGAACGAAGTTGGAAAAGAGAGTGTTCCACTGAGAGAGACTTCAGGCTGCAAAGGCTAACCTCAGAAAGGGGAGGGGAGACCTAGCAAAGCCTTACAAGGAAGCACGTCACTTCGGCTGTGCTCCTTGGCCTACCAAGGAAGCATTGAGAACCCACCCTTGGTCACCGGTCAGAATCCTACCCTCCTTCTTCACAGTACTTGTGTGCAAAGGACAGAATATCCGAGGCTCGACCGCTGCCATCGCAAATCACCACGGGGACGGGAGGGTCTTCCCGGAGGTACTCCAAGACCACAGACATCACGTTAGGGCCCCCTTCCACCACGAGGCCCACGAGAGGCACGCCCTGCCCCAGTCCTGCAACACAAACCACAGTCACTGCTCGACCTCCACACAGCACTGTCACCTGGAACATGGCGAAGGGGAAAACCTTTAGGACTGTGGATTCCACACAGGGATCAGTGTTTACCAAGAGTGGAGGAATTCAGGCACAGGATGACTGTTTTCATTCCTCTATGCAATCCTTAAATCATGGCCTCTTTGGGAAACTCAGAACTTCAAAAATCCTAAACTTCCTGATATCCCCGTGGGTCAGTTCCATGTATAATTCACCTTGGGTCTGCCCCAAATGACTTATGAGAAGCACTAAGGGATATTCCTCCCCCAGCTCAGTCGGAAGTTCCCACCCCAGGCTGCCCCCTAGAGGGTGACACTGGGAAAGGCGAAGTGAATCAGCCACAGGTTAGCTTCCTGACCTCTCTGGTAGCAGCCTGACGACCTTGGACCAGTTACTGGATCACCATGAGCCTTGGAAGACCGCTTAAAATATTGTTTTGAATGTTTTAATTTTATTAGTGCTGACTAGTTAAAAGAAGAGTGGGTTTCATTTTGGCGTATATGTAGGTACAACATAAACTATCCTTATTTTAAAATGCTCCTCTGTGCCTTTCTCCTCCCTTCCTTGACCTTGGTCCTCTTCTGTAAGAGTCTCCTTTCTACTTTTCTGCTCAGAGTATTCATGCTCAACAGACAAAGTCCATGCAAACATTCTATAACCTGAAAAACTCTGGAGTCTGAAACACTTGTGGTCCCAAGTGTTTCAGTAAAGGGCGTTTAACTACTCGGTTGTCTTAGAGGCCAACACACAGGCCAGTACTGGCCCATTGTTGATGACTTGTTCCCAGAGGTGTCTCTCAGCTTTTATCAAATGACAAGACACTCTGAGAACACAGTGGTGCAAGTTAACTTTTAGTTGTAGAACCATCAGGGTGGGCTCTGGGAAGCAGAAGGATTCTGGGAAGCAGGAGGATTCTGGGAAGCTGGAATTCTAGAGTAGGAGTACACAGGAGAAAAGGAGCAATAGAGAAAAGTTTGCCCGCCTCACGATTTTACCCACACTGGCCAGAATGGATTGTAGTCATTCTTCAGTATCTGAGGGTTGGTTCCAGGATCTCTTGTGGAGGGAGGCCCAAGTACTTGAAGCCAAGTCCCCACATAAAAAATGGTGTAGCACCTGCAGAGAACCTCAGACATCCTCCCTTGTGCTCAAATTGACTCTGAGAGACTTATCCTACCTGGTACAATGCAAGTGCTGCGCAACTAATTGTTATCCCTTAGGGAATAATAACAAGAAGTCTACACACGTTCAGTACACACAAACATTTTCCCTCAAATGTTTTCTATCTGCTGTTGGTGCAGTCCTTGGACCCAGAAGCCATGCATGCAGAGGGCTGACTGTACTCTGTGCTTGTTTCACCCAGGGTTGTGGTAGTAATTAGCTGACCCACAGTAACAAACAGCAGTGGAGGAGGTTCCTTGGACCTTGCAGTTTTCAAGACCTTCGGGTAAAATCTGCTAGCACAGGTCATGAGAAGACCTGACAATTTCAAATGGGTGGATCCAGATTTTGTGATTGGGTCCATAGCAACTCTCTACAGTCAGGAGTGCTTGAATATTTTGAACATATTTTCTGTCTCCTACTGGAATAATTATACTTTTGGCCATTTAATCAAATAAGCATGCAAAGTTCACTGTGGGCCAGCCCAGAACAGGAGACACTGGAGAAAAACTGTGAGGACATAGACTTTACTCCATCTTTGAGCTTTCTAACCCAAGCAAGGCATAGGAACTTAGATCTTCAGGGATATAGTAGCTAGGTCACCTGCTCTTCTAGAAAGAGAGTAGAACTGCTTCTTCTTGGCTGAAGCTGGATTCCCCGAAGCTTGTGAAGGGGGAGGTGACAACTGAGCACCCCTTTGCTGTCCCTGCCCCACTCAGAGCCCTAGGCAAAGGATGACAAAGGGAAGCCCACAAGTCACATGGCTGGGTGAAGCAGAGCAGTATGACAACTCACAAGTCCAGAAAAATTTAAAATGTTGAAAACGTTTTCAACAAATTCCACCAGTGTATGTATCGAGATGTGATTCTTGGAATCCACATCCTTTTATAGTAGCCCTCCCCCATTTTAACCACTAGAGCAATACCACAGTCCCTTAGATTATGCTTTAGCATGACTGTTTCCCAGACCGAGGTTGTCTTGCACAAATTAAAAAAAAAAAATCTCCTCCAAAATGGTTAAAACTAAGTACTCCTTGATATCATTTAATAATTGTTTTACAGTAAAATTTTTGAGCTGCAGCAATATCCAAAAAGCAATTCCAGGTAGCTTAATTCTATCCAGTTCATGTAATTTCATCTGGTTGGGGTTCATTTCTTTCTATCTAGTTAAGTCTCAAATGTCTTAAAAGCAGCTGCTCCCCTCAGGGTCGTGACCAGCGAGAGCGATGTCCCCTTAGCAGCAAAAGGCTCCTGCACCTCTTCACAGAGGTTTCCCCTCCTGACCACCTCAGTTTGAGTAAGACATCCAGAGCTACAGAGATATTTAATCATCATATATTTAATCATCATATAATACTCATCAGTTCAGAGAGAGAAAAATACTAAAGCTTTTGTAAGAATTTTTATCCTATTAAAATATATAAAAGTAATGTGGTAGTTACAGGGCAACCCAGCAGGTAGCATCACCATGGTGACTCTGGCACCAGCTTGTGAACTTGGGGCAAAGCACCGCATGGTAGCTCAGGGATGACATTTGGCAGGTGGCTATGCCAACAGGTCTAGGTGAGTCATGCTCTACTGATCCAGCAAGAACCAAGGGTGAAGCTTTCAGCACCATTGGACAGCTTCCTTTGCAGCTGGCTTTATTGGTGCAGGCATCGGCCCAGCAGCAGCACCTGTGGCCTTCCCCAGAACTTACTTGTGTTGATCTTCTGCAGAGAGATGTGCTTCTCCAGCTGTCTTCGCAGCTTCACCTCGGCGCCGTACTTGCCCAGGGTACCGTTGTCAGCCAGGATGAAGTGTGTGTGAGAGTTGTTGAGCACAGAGAGCTTACTCAGAGGGTTGGACATGGTCTGGTACACTCTCATGACCTGACAAAATGCACAGTGAAGACAGAGCTGCAGAGCCTGGATAGTAAGGCCACCAGAGGAAGAAAGCAGGCACACGTGTGCAATGACAATGCTTAGGCTTGTTCTCGCTTCTCTACCTGTCTTCAGAAGTTATTTTTCCACTTGCTATGTTAAAATAGAAAAGACTTAATTATTGTGGATAACGATAACTCAACATTTGTACACTTGGATTTTATCACAGATGAATGAAAACTTACATTAACACACATCCCTTACATAAAGGTTTATGGTAGCTTTATTTATAACAGACAAACTGTAAATAACTCAGATTTTTTTAAACAGATAAATGGTTAAACAATCTGTGGCATATTGATAGTAAGAATACTAAGCAAGAAAAAAGAAGGAACTACTGGTACACATGAAACTATAGACAAATATCCAGAGAATTATGCAGAGTAAGAAAGACAATTCCAAAGGTTACAAATATGTGGTTACTCATTTATATGATACACTTGAAATGATAAAATTATACAGTTGTGTGGCATGTCAGTGTTCTCAGGGCTTAAGGATGGAGTTGGAGTAGGAGGGTTTTGTCAATAGGCACTGAAGGGCCATAGGAGGGAACTTTGTGTTGGTGGAAAGACTTGGTATCTTGACTGTATCGATATTAATATCCTGGCTGTGATATTGTACTTTAGTACCATGTGAAAGGTAAGAGGTTGGAGCTATTATTTCTTACATGAGAATATACAATTATCTCAACTATAGCTTCAATTTTAAGAAATCACCAGTGTCTTCAGAGAAAACACTTACATCCTTGCCAATGAGGTCTTCCTTATTTTCCACCATGCCCCACGGAGCGATTCCTATAGCACAGACACGGCCTCTGGACTTGGAGGAGTGGTCCTTCAAGGCATCCCCCACGTGGCTAATGACACCTGTGGGCAGCCATAAGCCATATTTTAGGTCCCTCTACCTTTCCCATACCACTATTCTCAAGAATTTGAAGGACACGCCCTGAGAAACACGGATACAGCATATTCCTTTTCATCACCAAAGAAAAGTATGCTGGATGTCTGAGGTCATAATAATTATCCTGCTTTAACTCCTGAAATAGGGAATTAAAAAGGCACCAAAGTAACTGGGTAAGGACTTTCTCTAGAAGTTTCTATGACCTGAAGATGGAAGTCCTTGGGTTTCTTTGGCAGTGCTGGGCTACCTTAAGTTAACACCAACATGAAAATCATATTTACTATCAAAGCAAAATGAATCATACCAAAGAAACCTTACTTTAACAAAGGCTTCAGGTTAGGATCAGGATGCGGCATGTTTTGTTTTCTGAGCATCACTACCAGGAGCTCTTCCGGCACCACAGTGAGTGCAAGGTGTGCACATTCCCAGGCGCGAAGGGCCTGCTCTTACCGGTGCTGACTCCTCCTGTGAAGATCCAGGCACCCGTGGTCATGGCAGCCTTGATCAGGCCCTTCCCAAACACCTGCTTCAACTTGGGCTGCATCTCGAAGTTCTGGAGGCCTCCGTGCACCGAGATTAAGAGCTTGGGGAGTTCCAGCTGCCAGTCTTTCACCATGAGATGGAGCAGGGAGTCTGGCTTGGTATCGTAGGACACACGGATATACTGTAAAGGAGAGCAGATATGCTCAGCACCTGTTCTTGGTTTTGCTTCTCGTCTGGCTTGGCTGTTTGCCCATGCCCTCCATGTGAATCTGTGGCCAAGGGGCTAAGAGGAATTTAGGGAAAGGATGCCAGATTTAGCAACTAAAAGTACAGGGATTCCCAGGGCTAGAGCTGTGTTTCCCCATCGTTCATGTGTTGAAACCTAAATTCCCAACGTGGTAGTACTAAGAGGAGGCCTTTTGCATCTCTTAAAGGCTAAAGCACAGTGCTCTGGCACCCAAAGGCACTTGTTCACCTCTTTGGCAGTGTTCACAATACACCAAGAAGCAAAAGGTCAGACTTCGCTGGATGCCAAATCTACTGGGGTCTTGGTCCTGGAGTTCTTAGCTGCTAGAACCATAAGCAATAAATATCTGAGGTTTAGACTTTACCCAGTGCTTTGTTGTAGTGGGTGAATAAACTAAGGCACCCAATTAAATGTGAATTTTAGATGAAACAATAAGAAGTAATTCAGTGCAATATTTTTACTAAGTGCAATAATAAGTATTTGGGACATAGTTGTACTAAAGTTATCTCCCGTTTTTTCTGAAATTCACAAAAAACTCAGTGTCCTGTAGTTATCCGGACTCCTACACTTTGGAAGAAACAGTTTTATAGCCGGATAAGGATATTGTTGAGCAACAGAAAAGGGCATCCCGAGACCACATCCGGGCTTGCTCACAGGACTCAGGTCCCATGAACTGCTTCTTCGTGTGCACATCAGTACATGCTGTGTCACTTAGAAGATTACCTGTTGTGGCATTTGGAACACAAGTGAATTTTTCAGAAGAATGATATTGGACTAATGGAATAATAAAATGAGGTTTCAAAAATGGCCTAAGTAGGCATATGAAAGCGCCAGTCAGAGTTAGCAGGCAGAGGTCACGGTGAGCCTCCCCTCCCCAAAGAGCGCCACCGAGAGGCGTGGGCACTTCCTGTTTACAGACACTTAGGAGAGGCTCTGCTCTGTTCTGCGCTAGCTGAGCGCAGGTCCAGGGAAGCTGTGGATAGACTTCGGGGCAAACATTTCCAGAGAGTTCCTCGTATACACCCAAGGGGACTTCAGGTTCATATATTTGTAAAAAGAAATTTTACATCACTGGAATAGAGTGATGAACATAGTCCCTGGGTTGGACCTGAGCAGGCATTGTGGGTCAGAACTCTGGTACGGACTTAGGGGACATTCTAAGTCCATTCTGATGGTGTCCACTGTGCAGGTCTCCTGGCTTAAAAATCAATGTGCACAGATCTATCTTTTGGTTCTGCAGGGAAGTACCTAGGGAGATTGAGACATAACAGCAAAGAGGACAAGATATCTGCTGTCTAGGGGCTGAGAGACAGGTCTCTGAGGAGAACTGAGGTCCCCGCGGTTCCATGCCCGACTGCCCCTCTTACCATGGCTTTATTAGAGTATCCGCCACCCTGGAACTCAAGAATTCCATAGGTGTCGGTCGGGTAGCTCTGGGTGTGTTTGCTGACAGACCATTTCTCTGGCTGAGCCTCCACCTGCTTGTTTGCCTCTCCGTCTTTGCTGGGTGTTACCGTGGGCAGAGGGGGGATATGCTGGTTGGTGAACTGGCCACAGCAGCACCTGAAAAACAGCCAAGCGCTTTTATCCTTTCCCTTCCATTACCCAAGATTCACCTGAGCAAGTGGATCAGGAATGTGCTGGCACCTTAGCTATCTAACTTTGTTAGGGAGAGAAACACTCACTGTGGCGAACTTTCCCAGATAATCGATGTCTATTTATGTATCTGCCGGTCTATTTTAATGGATGACTGTCTTTCTGCTCTGGACTATTTTAACTCATTTTGATGTCCTGATGCCACTAAAGTAAGTTGGATATTTTGAATATTACTAAACATTTTGTGACAAAGTACAATCGTGTTCTCCAAACAGAACTGAGCTGCTAGAATGTTCAATATGGTTGGATTCTTCTCTTGCTTTGTAAAACATTCCTCTACTCAAAGACTATTGAAAGACTATTTCCGCAAGTCCCTGTATGTCTTTTTTGGTGCTGTGCAGTTGGTTTATTGGGCTGTAAGCTAGCCCAGCTTTGGGGATCTTCGTACTACAGTGTCTACCCACAGTGTTGCCAGCCTCCTGCGCTATGCAGTGCTCTTTTTCTAGTTGTCTGTCTTAGTTGCTTTTCTCACTGCTGAGACAAAATACCCAGCCCCAAAGTTAAAGGAGGAAAAGTATATTTCAGCTCCAGTTTATAGAAGTTTCTGTCTACACGTAGCTGGGTCCAAGGCAAGTTGGCGTGGCAGGGCAGAATCACAGAGGAGAAACAATTCATGGCAAAGCAGGCAGGAGGCAGGAAGCACTCAGCAGCAGCCACAGCAGCAGCAAACCTGCCTTCTGTCTCTTCCTTTATATTCCATCCAGCCTATAAACCTACGGATTGGTGGCAGCCACACGCAGCAAGGGGCTTCCATTACTCACACACAAAGCTCGGTTAATTCCAGTCAGTAGACTGACGTGGTGCCACACACCCGCATCACATGCCTTCCACACAGCCAGCTCTGAAGAGCCTCCTCACCTATAAGAACATGAGACTCTAGGAGAGCAGCTGGTACAAGGAATAGTGTTGTCCTTGACCATATTTCTTGGTTTGTGCCAGTGTGTTTTCCCAGTATACTTAGGTTTTCCCCTGTCAGACATTTTTAGGTGCATCTGAGAGGCCTGGATCCACCCATACTTGCAATATCTTTTAGGAGAAAGAACAGTAGCATGAAATGATGCAGAGGAGGTATGTTTCTTTTAGGCAACACATAGATGGGTCTTGTATTTTTGTTCTAACCTGCCAGACTGTGTCTTTTAATTGGAGAGTTAAGACTATTTACATTAAGTGATATTATTAAAAGTCATTTATTATTTATTTTTATTGTTTTTCTAGGGTTTGATTTACTTCTATTTCTCATTTGTTCAACTACACTCCCAGTGTGGTTTACTCTTTCCTTTGGCCTTCTGTTTGTTGTTGTCTTCATCTCTCTTTAGTAGCCCCTCGAGTGTCTTCTGTGATACTAGTTTTCAGGGCATGAATTTCTTTATGGTTATCATGGAAGGTTTTTATTTCTCCTTCAATTAAAAGAATAGCTTTACTGAATATAGTAATCTGGGTTTGCAGTTATTTTATTTCAGTACTTAAAATATTTCTTTTTAAAGTCTCTGAGCTTTTTTAGGTTTATGTTACAAAATCTGTTGTTATTCTGATGGGTTCACCCTTATGAGCAATTTAGTGCTCCTAACAGCTTTCAACATCTGTAATTGTTCTGAATTTCTGTACACTGACCACGCTATGCTACGTAATGATGGCTTACACTCTAAGTAATGCTGTGCATGTTGACTTTGCTAGGCTCCTTTTCTCAGTATGTCTCTCCTCTTCGGTACTTTCGGCTGTCAGTTGTACTTTAGCTCACCTGTTCCCCCTTTATACTGGTGGCATTTGTGGCCGAGAAAGGGACAGCCCCAGCCATGCTGGTCCAGGACCCTCTCTGCACCCTGGTGCTTGTGGGTGGTGGTAGCTCCAGTCCTCCAGGTTCTCTCTGATTCATAGCACCTGCCATTGCTGAGGAGAGAAAAGCCTGAGCCTAGACTGTCCCATCTGGAAGTTATACCTTGTATCTTCCCTGAAGTCCACCCTGTTTTTCCCTGGCTCACAAGACCCATAGTCCGCGTGGATCAGGGACATCCTCCTCTGCAAACGTCTCAGTAGTCTTGGGGCTGTGTCCCAGTGGAGAGCCTATGGGTGTGGCAGGCACTGAAAGCAGAGCTGATAGGCTGAGTGATTCCTCCATGACTTCTTCCCCTGCAGAGTTCTGGGTATTTTCTTCTCCTGTTTGCTTTTTCTTTTGTTGGTCATGTTTTTTTGCACGTCATATCTCAGAATTGTGAAGACTTATGCATATGTCTTCTTGTAATAGTTTTATAGTCTTAAGCCTTATATTCATGGTTCATTTTTAACTTCATTGTTATAGACAGTGTGAGGTAAGGATCCAAATTCATTCTTTTGCACATGACTTATCCTGTTCCATCACTTACTTACCTACTTACTTTCATCTTTCTTTCTTTCTTTCTTTCTTTCTTTCTTTCTTTCTTTCTTTTTCTTTCTTTTTTGTCTTTTTGAAATAAAGCTTCACTATGCAGTGCAGGCTGGCCTCAAACTTCCAGTGATCCTCCTGCCTCAGCCTCTTGAATGCTGTGATTACAGGCATGTGCCACCATGCCTGGCCTCCAGCACATTTGTTGAAGAGACTATTCTTTTTCTCCTTGAATGGTCTTTTCCTTCTTTCCAAATATCGATTTTCCATAGGAGTTTGTGTTTATTTCTGGACTGTCAGTTCTATTCTGTTGCTCTGTGTGTCCATCCAGTGCTAGTCCTAGTATCGCACTAACTACAGCATTTTGGTTACTGCAGCTTTGTCTTACTTTTTAGATTGAGGAATATGAGTCTTCTTATATCATTGCTGGAGTTGTTCTCCTCCACTTCCTCTTCTTCTTCCTCTTCCTCTTCCTCTTCCTCCTCCTTTCTCTTCTTCACAAGAAGAAATTGTTTTGTTCTGGGTCACTTACTGTTATAGTCTGAGTTTAGATGCCCTCTCCCCACCACCAAAAGTCTCATGTGGTGACAGGTGCTGCTTTTTCAGAGGTGGCTGGATCTAGAGTGCGTGGCAATGGGATTGATTCATGGTGCAGTCTGGGGCTCCAGGGCACTAGGATTAAGGGTGTGAATGTTGTCCACCCTAAGTAATCTGGATAAGAAAAAATGAGCAGGGGGACGCTATTAAGGCCCCTTGCCTGCTTTGCTAACTTCTGGCCATCAAGAACTGCTTCTTGGGCTTGCCAAATAGCTCAGCAGATTAAAGCACCTGCAAGCAGGCACAGGGGCCAGGGCTTTGATCCCTGGGCCTACAGTGCCAGCCCTGCCCCCAGGGTGCGCTGAGACTGCAACTGGGCATGGTGGCATGCACCTGTAATCCCAGATCTTGGGAGGCTGTAAACAGGAAGATCACTACGAGTCCGATCTAACAGTGAGACCCTGAATACCCTGTAGGCCCTTCCCTAAAATAAAAAAAAAAAAAAAAAAAAAAAGATGAACCGCTTCTCTTCCATGTCACCCTGCCTCAGAGTCAGCTGATTATGGACTGAATTTTCTACAGACTGTGAACTAACTATCCTTTCCCCTTTAAACTTTAGCATTGGGTATTTTGTCCCAGCAACAAGAAAAGGAGCTAAAACACAATTTTGTATGAATTTTAGAACCAAATTATCTGTGTCTAGCAAAAATCAGATGAGATTCTGAAAGAGATTGAGTTGAATCTATGTTATGGCTTATATCTAGTGCCCCCCCCCATATAAATCATGGAGCAGCAGGGGCTCGAGGGGCGGGGCCAGAGGCCCAGGGCGGGGCTTGAGGGGCGGGGCCAGAGACCCAGGGCGGGGCTCGAGGGGCGGGGCCAGAGACCCAGGGCGGGGCTCGAGGGGCGGGGCCAGAGGCCTAGGGCGGGGCTTGAGGGGCGGGGCCAGAGAGGCGCTCAGGCACCTTTACACTGACAACCTGTAGCGTGGGACGGCAGTGTCTTGCTATGTAATTCAGGCTGCTTTAAACTATGAAACCTCCAGTAACTGTGAGCTGAATAAACCTTTCCTTCCCTAAGCTTGAGTGTCAGGCATTCGTCCCAGCAATGAGAGAAGAGTAAGTAATAGGATATATCATCTTGCAAGTATTTTTATTTTAATAATAATAATAATACATTTTCCAATCTATGAACATGTGACATTTCCCAAGTTATATGGATCTTCATTTCTTTCCTCACTGTTTTGCAGTTTTGGTATCTGCAATCCTTATTTCATAAAATAAGTTGGAAAATATCCCCATCCTCTGCTACTTTTGGAAAATTTTGTGAAGAATTTATCTTAATTTTTCTTTAATTTTTTTTTAGAATTTAGCAGAGAAGCCATGTGAATCTGGACTTTAAAACAAAACTGCTAATCAACTACTGATGGGTAGTTTTTGATTATTTGTCCTATCTCTATTATTGTTTATCTATTTAGATTGTGTATTTCTTCCGTTAGTTTTGATAGTTTGTGTCTTTCTAGAAAGTTTTCCATTTCATCTGTTATCTAATTTGTTGGCATACAAATAATATCATTTCTCTGTGCTTATTTCTATTTACACAAGGTTAGTAGTGATGTCCTGTCTTTCATATTTTATGCTAGTTCTTTCATTCTTTCCTTTTTTCTTTATCAGCCTATCTAAATTTTTTCTGTTATGGTAATTTTTTTTCCAAGAACAGCTTTTGATTTCTTTGATTTTCTCTACAGAAATTATCTGTTTTCTAGCATGGACCAAATAGATAAAATTTCTATTCTGTTCTCATTTTATTAATTTCCGTTTTAGTCATGAGTTTCTTTCTTTTGTTTGCTTTAGGGTTAGTTTGCTCTTATTTCTCCAGTGTGTTACAGTGAAAGATTATATTATTTAA